TATAAAAGCCAGACCCCGGAAGTTACCCCAGCTTTTGACTCAGCTCCTTTCAGTCAGTAGCTGTGTCTCTGAAAGCGTTCTGTTAGTTAGCACTCACCAGTGATCTTCAGTATCTTTTTTCCTCACTTCAAGCAGCTCCCAGGGCAGCTGCTCTTCCAGGAGAGCAGGGCTCTCTCTCCTGCAACATTGGGATCAGCGTTGCCAGAGCGCTGTTCAGGCAAGTTGGGCAGTGTCTGTAGACCTCCCCCACGCCTGCGGTTTGAGTGGTCATAAAAAGCGATCAGCAAACCGATAACAGCGTCAGCTAGCTGAGGTTCTGTACATAGCACGCACAGCAATCTTCAGTACCTCGCTTCAGCAGCTTCCAGGATCTGGACAGCTGCTCTTCCTGGCTTCAGTTTCATTCGCGGGCGATAAACTTTTTGGCGATGCTCTGGAGCCTTATCGCATCGAAACCAGAGATAAACGTAAGATTCTCTTTTCCTCTGGGAAGAGAGCCGACTATCTCCCAGCCCCTTATCACCCTCCTGCCTTTTGAGCGGAGACCTCATCCCGCTTCCCCCAGTGTCAGAGTCCATACTCCCAACACCAAGACCAACGTGCGGAAACATCTGGCAGCCAACAACCTTCTGGTAAGCAGCCCTTTCGGGGGGGGGGGTCATTCCTTCCGTCGCTCTAAGTAATCCCTCGTTCTCCTCACCCATCGGAGGTCGCCTAGCCTTCTTTGCCTCCAAATGGGAGGAGTCAACGACGGATGCCTGCGTGCTCTGCACTATTAGGTCAGGGTTACAATTGGACTTCCTAATGCCACCCCCAAAAGGGGAAAAAAGAAAAAAATGTGCAAATCTTACCTTGAGTTGGAACACGAGCTGGAACTGGAAGATGAGATTAACAGCGGGGGAGGGAAATCTACCCCAGGGTGGCTTGCTGTCATTGGTGGGAAAGTTGGTCCCATATTCCAGAGCTGCAGTAGTCACAAGACTGGCCCAAGACTGGTCATCCCAGAGCAGCTCCTCCAGTCCATGGCAGGCTGGTGCACCAAGGTGAGGAGCAGCTGCTCCGGGATGACTAAAGGGCCAGTCCTGTGACCACTGCAGCTCTGGAATACGGGACCAACTTTCCCATCAACATCAGCAAGCCACCACCAGTCAAAATTCATATTCTGCGGGATTTAAAATTATGAGTTTGGTGGTCCCTGAGGTTCAAAAGATTGGTGACCCTTGCTTTAGAAATCAAGTGGCCATCTCCAGAACATAAATTAATGTCCAATTCAATTTAGTTCCAGTGAAAACAAAACTTTTCAATCAAGTTTAAATCTTTCAAAAATTCTATAATAATTAAATCAAGCACAAGCAAATCCTTCACTTACTAGTTGTTTTCTAGTCTTTATCTTAAATACCTAAGTGTGAAAGTAAATATATAGAAATCCCAATTAGGAAAATGCAGAGTATTAAGAAAGGTCCTTTGCAATCCAAGGGAACCCAAACATAGCACCTTTCTTGGAGTCATTAAAGCAGCTGTGTCTTTTGCCAGGCTCACACAGCTGCTTCCTCTGGTCTTTGTTATGAAGCATTTCTTTCAAATATTTGTATCAAATGCATTACTACAAAATGACAATTTCCAGCCCAGAATTGGAAACACTAAAAAGGTAATCCTCCAAAAGTCTAGTTTTTATAGTTACGCACAACTGCTTTTGCAAAATACTCTTAATAGTTGTTTTAATTTTTATTGCCTGAAAAATAACATTAGTAATAAAAACCAGGGAAATATAAGGAGTAGGCAATTTTGTTGAATGACTGTACCTATGATTCCTACCAAACAAAATGTTTTTCATATTACAGTTGTGGTAAAACCAGATGTTTTGATCAGAAGTGGCATGATTTCATCTTTGATTTGGGGAATGAATAACATATATATTAAAATCTTCTTATCTTCCTTAAAATGAAAGGAAAAAAAATCTCCTCCCTTAATTTCTTAATAGCAAATTATTGAAAACCTAGGGAGGGGCAGTGTTCTCAGACCAGCCTACAATATCAAACAAAGTTGTTGGGGGAAAATAGGAGGAGGGAGCACTATACGCATCACTTTGAGATACTGACAAAAAGGGAAGTTCTGTTTCAAATGAATAATTATTCTGTATAGTTTACTCACTGGTTGATTTTCAGCAATTAAAATTGTGTTTTAATAAAAAAATTGATTGATGTGCCATCAAGTCCTTTTCAATTTCTATCAGCTGCATAGATAGATTTTCTCCGTTATGATCTAATCTGTTCTTTCATGTTTCCCAAGGATGCCTGCGGTGAATCTAGCCACCTTCCTCCTCCTCTTCCTCCTCCTCCCTCCCCCCTCCTCCTCTTCTCTTTCCTTCCATCTCCTTTCCCAGGATTAGAACATTGTCCAGAGATATGGGTCTTTTTATATAATATGTTCTAAGTAGAATAATTTTGAGCCTGGTCATTTGTGTCTCAAGTGGGAATACTGGGTTGATTTGTTCAGTGAAAGATCATATAAATAATTATCTTTAAATAAGCATTTGGGGCTGATTGATGGAATGGTTGCTTAGATTGTCAGAAGAGCTACCAGTCTCCTTTCCTGTAAAACCATCCTCTCTTCTTTGGTCCCCTCTTTAACTGCCTCTCATATCTTTCAATTCTTTTTCTATCTCCAAATTATCTTAACTTTTTTTGTGGTTTCTGGATAAGAAAGATCTTTTGCTAGAATGACAAATGAGATTGCTTGCATCTCTTTTGCACATAATGGACACCCTTTTTGGCAAAAGTGGGGGAGGGGGCTACGTGAGGATGCTTTTTGTAGATTTTAGCTCTGTATTTAATACAATATTTCCACATAGACTAGTGTCTAAACTTATGGATCTTGGACTTTCTTATTCCATCTCCCTTTGGATTATGGATTTCCCATCTGGCTGTTCTCAAAGGGTCAGAGTAGGTAATCATACCTCTTCAGCCTTTATTCTTAACACTGGTATACCACAGGGTTGCATGTTGAGTCCCTTACTCTATCCTCTTTATGTGATAACTACATTCCCACTCACACTAGTTATACTAGTACTAAATTTGCAGATGATACAACAGTGGTGGGACTCATCTCCGGGGGGAGATGAGGTAGACCAGTTGCTTTCAAGGTGTGGAGACAATAATTTGGTCCTTAACACCAATAAGACCAAGGAGCTTATAGTGGACTGTAGAAGGAACAGACCAGACATCCAGCCCTTGCTTATCAGTGGAGACCGAGTGGAGCAACTGGCCAGTTTTAAGTTTCTGGGTGTTACCCTAAAAGAGGACCTGACCTGGGGCACCCACATTGCAGCTCTGGTCAAAAGGGCCCAGCAGAGATTATACTACCTGAGGCTTCTCAGAAAACAACAACTGAATGAAAAACTGCTGGTGACCTTCTAGCGCTGCACCTTAGAGAACTTTTTAACATACTGCACCTCTGTATGGTTTGCCAATTGTACAGTGGCAGATAGGAAAGCACTCCAGAGGGTTAACATCATTGCCCAGAAGATCACTGGTTGCCCTCTCCCCACTTTGGAAGAGCTTTATAGCTCCCGCTGCCTTAAGAAAGTTCAAAACATTCTCAAAGATCCATCTCATCCTGGTTACCCTTTTTTGAATTATTACCATCTGGCAGACGGTACAGGACAATAAAAACAAGGACAAATAGGCTGAAAAGCAGCTTCTATCCCAAGGCAGTAACTATATTGAATTCTGCTGTATAGTGCAATATTAATGCAATATCAGGTTTTCAATTCAATTGTATAGAAATGTAAAGGATGTATGTTTGTGTTTTATAGTTATAATGTACACTGAAGATGGCATTTAATTGTTCAAGTTGCAATGACAATAAACTAAACTAAACTAAAAGGGGCAATTTGAAGTGAAGAGGTCAGGACTGAGTAATTGTCATTGTGTGAAAGCTTATGTTCTCCGGATTATAATGGCATACATTTAGGGCCATTGTTAATATAATCATTTTAGTTAAGATGCTAAAGGCAATTTTGTTGTCTCAAATCTGTTTTGGGCTGCTAATTAATTCAGCTCCCATTCTTAAGATGCTTTCATATTTATTGTCACCCATCTTAAGGACAGCATAATGAAAATAAAACTAATCTTACAAAAAGTTTTAGTAATCTTGGTGGCACTTTCTACATATCTAAAACCCTACTTATATTTTGATTTGCATTTTTGTTGACCTCTCCCTCTACCAACTCCTTGCCAGGTCAACTTTCCAAGGACTTCATATTTTATTGACCCATGGTTCCCAATTAGGTGCTCTTCCCAAACATTAGAGCTACTCCCATCAGTCCCAGGTGACCTTGTCAGGGTGAGAAATGATAGAAGCTGAAATTCAGCCTCTGGTGGTCTGAATCTAAATACTTGGCTGTTGTTTATCACCATTATGTACATTCAGGACTGATGGATGGAGTTGAAGAACCCTGAGATTAAGGGGATGGGAACAGGCTTGTTCTTCTGAGGCTTGGTTTAGTGGGGAGTGGCTGCCTCTCTGCCAAAGAAGGCTTAGGAGGGGAGAGGTTGCATGTCCTCTGCTTTCCCTGCTGAGGCTGGTGATAACTGCCAGGTAGGAGCTGGGGAGCAATAGGTCACATTCCTGGTCTTGGACCATAAGTGACTGTGGAAGATGGGAACTCTTCCAGGTGAGGGGCTACCTATGGACGGCTCAAGAAGGGAACGTACAACTTCCCCCTCCAGAATCTCTTGCAAACTCCTCTCTTTTTGCTGCTGTGGTTTTCAGCAGTCTGAGGTAGGAAAGAGGTAAGCAGGACTGCAATCTGGACTTCCCTCTACATCCTTTTTTCTGGTCCTCCTCCATCTTTCACTACAAACTCTTTCAGGCAGCATTCTTCCTGTTTTAATGAGCAGGAAAAGGTTGAGGAGGTGGGGGAAGCATAACCAATTCCTCTCTGGTATGTGCCTCTCATTTCCTGGAATTTATTTGTTTCCTTGGCTTGTTTTTTTCAGGGCTGAAAGATGTCTAACTCTAAAAAGAAAATGGAGTTTGGCATTGTCACCCCTTGAGAAGTGAGATCCTGCTCCAATGCTGGGAGACGCCCAGCTGCAGCCAGCAGCACCTCAGCTCCCGTGATCCCAAATCTTTTGCCTTCCAAATCCACGTCTGAAGTCTGATCACTTGATTCTGCCTGCTAGTACCACAAATGGCTACTCAGAGAAAGCACTCTGTGAAAGATTTCAACCCATATATCACCTGCTGCATCTGTAAAGGGTATTTGATCAAGCCAACTACCGTCACCGAGTGCCTCCATACTTGTAAGTAGGGATTTGTGAGGCATCCTTTTTTCCCTCCTATTTTAATTAATGCAAATTAATTAATGCTTTTGCAGTTATGAGATTAAGGCTCATAGTTTAGAAGCCATTAATGTTTAATATTTACTAGAACATATTTCAATATACATTGCCTATCACATACAAGATATGCTTGAATTATTAATTAATAGTAAGGAGTTGGAAATCATGAAGGGAGTTTTAATAGTAGGACTGTAGTTTATTTATTTTTATCCTACCTTTATTTATTTGTTTTGTTGTTTATTATAGTTTTATCCTATCTTTATTATTTTATAAGTAACTCAAAGCAGTGAACATATACGTATAATGCTGCTTCCTCTTCTTATTTTCCCTACATAACAGTGGGGTGGATTGGGCTGAGAGTTTGGCCTAAAATTACCACAGCTGGCTGTCATGGCTTTCATACCTGGTTTTTAGCCTGGTACTTTAACCAGTAGAACAAACATATGATAGCAAGAGATATAGAGTATCTGCCTGGATCCAGATGTTCTAGGAATCAGAGTAATTTCAGCAGAAAATGGAATGTGGGAGACATACAGTAAATGAAAAGGGTACATTTGCAAGTATTTAAAAAATATATCTTCCTCACATATTAACAACCGCCATTGTAAGACACATAGGTGTTCAGAATACCTCCTTCTCCTCCAAGGATATTAGATGAAAGCATGAGATACAGTATTTTAACTCTATAAAAATAGACATAATAATCACATAAACTGTACAGTGCTAAATCAGGCATAATTCTTTCATAACTTGATTTGACAATCTTCAATATCTTAAAACTTCATTGCCAGAATGGTCTTGAATCTTCAAGCTCAAGTATTTGGGTTGTCAAATAACATGTAGAAAATCAGTATATATTTCTAGAAGATCTTGGAATATTAGACCTCCTTAAAAAAATCAGTAGTTTGCAATTATTATTTACATATTTTCCTAAAACACATCTTATCTGATTTTGCAGTCTGCAAGAGTTGTATTGTGCAACACTTTGAAGACAGCAATGATTGCCCCAGGTGTGGCAATCAAGTACATGAGACCAATCCATTAGAAATGTTACGGTAAGGGGTTATTTAATAAATGTAATAAATTATTTAATAAATTATTTCAAAGGAAAACAGTTCATCAATAGTGTTTTGAAATGGTCTAAGAAAAAATATATCTATGCTGGAATTCCAAATTACCAACATTTTAGATAATTGAAAATAATAGAATAGTTTTGTCACTTTAACAAAATGTTAGTCATTGAATCTTGTTAAATCGGTTATAATTAAAGTTTACAAGACACATTTTAAATTAGTTTCAAATATTACAAAAGGATCTGCCTTGTTTCAGTCAACTCAGTTTCAGTTTTACAGGTCAAATCATTAATTTCCCAGGTTTAAATATCGCCAACCAATTTTCAATTATACTGGAAAAATTCCTTTCTTTACACCATCTAAATATTTTTGTACATTTGTTTTGCAACTATAGTAAGATACGGTTCCATAATATGATACGTACCCAATTTTTTCACCTTCTCTTCTTTCTCAACCCTGAAGCTACTTCCCACCTCCCTAGTTTTTTGATGGCTTATTTTCTTTATATGAACTTAAACATTACTGGATATCAGCACATATAATAAATGGTTTTCTCTTCCTTCCCATCCATCATGCTTCAGATGTCCAAATGTCATGAGCAGCAGGAAAGCAAATATCTTCTTACACTCTCTAGCAATCTATTGAACAACTGACTGACACACATTTATACTGCAGGGTTCCCCAGAATTATGGTTCACTGACGGGACTATACCACTTGCAACAAGACATATAATCTTTTTTTTTTAAGCAAAGAAAACTTGGTAGGAAGCATCATGGACAACAAATACAAAGGTTCTAAGCAATATGCTCATTATGGAAAAGAAATTTCTAGGAAGAGAGTAGATAGTGATGTGGAATGATAGGAAACTACAGTAACATGGTAATGGCTGCTGCTCTGTGTTTTTCCTTGGTTGAAGAGGTTAAAGAAAAAAGAAGTGATGTTTGTTTTTTAGAAAAACAATTTAATCTCCCAAAATAACAAATACAATGCAAGGAAACACTAAGTATATAACCAGTTGACACCACAGTAATGCTTTAAAGTTTTACTAGACTATTTGTGCCTCACTGCTGCTAGCTGAATGAGTGGAAGGTCCAGAAGGAGCAGGAAAGGATGAGCATACAGCCCTCCTATCTTCCCTTGCAACACGTAACCTACAGGTTTCTGTGAAGGGTAGTCAGAAGGAGTTGTGGAGCTGAAGTGGCCACAACTTTTCCAAATTTCATTCCCGCAAGAGTCATGGGTCATAGCATTCTGTAAATTAATCCATTTGAATAATTTTGGTTCAATAATTGTTGTACCTTCCAATTTCACCCAATTGAAGGTTACAAAACTATATATATATATATATATATATATATATATATATATATATATATAT